CATCCATCCTGATGCTGCCAATTGGTCCAGTGGTGAGAATCTTTGTCTTCTTGACATTGAGCCTCAATCCATATTGTAGGCTGCAGTCCTGTTAATGAGGTGCACCCTCTTTTTTTAAAAAAGGAATATAATATGAACCTATCATTTATTTTTATGTACTTTAAGAAAAGTTCTTTTATTTTTATTGCTTTTGTTCCATCCTCATTGATTCTCATCTCTCCTAATCATCCAAGAATGATTCTTTCAGTGTAAATAATTCCCTGGGTTTTTACATTAGTTTCCTTATACCATAACTGCCCTTTTGTGACTGGCTTATATCACTTAGAATCATTTGTTCTAATTTCATCCAAGTCATGTAGTGTTTCACCAATTCTTGGTTGGTTATAAGTGAGCTGTATTACTCTACTGTGTGATTTTGCCACAGTTCATTTAGCCTTTTATGCATTGATGGACACTTGGGTTGTTTCCAACTCTTTACTATTATAATTTCTGCAGCAATAAACATGAGTATGGATATATCTGTGCAAATCACAGTTCTCCTTTCTTTAGGATATATATCCAGTAGTGGGATTACTAGATGAAATTGTATTCCTATTCTCTACTTTCTAAGGAAGTGCCAAACTGCTTTGCATAGTGGTTGTATCATTTCACATTCCCATTAACAATGCATTGCCAGTAGTTGTTGTAAGGAACCCTGGTGGCACAGTAGTTAACCCTGGTGATGGGCAATTTAAAAGATAATGTCCTAGATGTCTGTAATTTTTCCTAAATGGAAATAGAGTATTCACAAATGCTGCATTAATGCTCTTAGTAGGTGCCATCAAGTCAGTTCCAACTCACAGTGATTCTGTTTACAACAGAACAAATCATTGCCTGGTCTTGTTCCATCTTCCTAATGCTGCATTTAAGACCATAGTATCAGCCATATCAATACATCTCATTGAGGGTCTTCCTCAGTTTCACTAGTCCTCCGCCTTACGAAAAACGATGTCTCTCATGGATTGAATTGTGTCCCTCCGGAACAAGTGGTAACTTAGCTGGTTCTCAGTGTCTTGGCAGTTATGTAGTTATGCAGTGCTATAATGTGGTCGTTACGTAAAGGTATAATCCTCTCATCACTCATTATGTATGTTCAGTTGTGATCAGCTATCATCTAACATATGGTGATTAGGATGGGATATACCACCTAAGCTAATATAAGGAGAATGTTCCTGAGGTGTGGCCTACTGTTACAAGTGGCAAAAAAAAAGAGACGTGAAAAGAGAGCTCATTTACCACTAACAAAGAAAAGTCAGGAGTGCCGTTTAGAAAGGGTCGTGGTACTAGGGATATTGTAGCTAATGTTAGATGGATCTTGGCTGAAAGCAGGGAGTACCAGAGAAATGTCTGTCTGTGTTTCATTGATTATGCAAAGGCATTTGACTGTGTGGATCACAACAGACTGTGACTGACTCTAAGAAGAATGGAAATCCCAGAACACTTGATCATGCTAATATGAAACCTATACTTGGACCAGGAGGCAGTCATCAGAACAGAGAAAGGAAACACTGCATGGTTCAAAATTGGGAAGGGTGTACACCAGGGAGGTGTCCTGTTTCCATACCTTTCCAACCTATATGCAGAACAGATTATCTGGAAGGCTGAGCTGTTTGAGAAGTGTGGCATCAGGATAAGAGGAAGAGTCGTCAATGATCTGCCTTATGCAGACACAATCCTGCTTGCTGAACTGAGGAGGACCTGAAGTGCTTGCTGCAGAAGGTCAAGGACTGCAGCCTTCAATATGGATTGAGGCTCAATATCAAGAAGACAAAGATTCTCATCACTGGGCCAATTGGCAGCATCAGGATGGATGGTGAAGAGACTGAGATTGTTCACTGCTTTAGTTTGCTTGGCTACATAGTCAACACTCTTGACAGGAAATTAAAAGGCCTATTACAATGGAAAGTCTACCATTAGGGACCTCTCCAAAGTACAGAACAGTAACGGTGTTACTCTGGAGACTAAGGTGCACCTGATACAGGCCATGGTCTTTGCAATCCCTTGGTATGAATTAGAGAGCTGGGCAATAACTAGGGAGGATAGAAAAGAAATAGATGCCTTTGAGCTGTGGTGTTGGAGAAGAGTATTGAATATATCATAGATTGTTAAGAAAACAAACAGGTTCATCCTAGAGAGGGTTAAAGCAGGCTGCTCCTTGGAGGCAAGGATTCTGAAGCTTCATCTGACACATTTTGCGCATGTTGAAAGGAGGGACTAATCCTTGGAATATGATGTCATGCTTGGGAGGATGGAATGACAGAGCAGGAGAGAAAGACCCTCTACGAGGTGGATTGATTCAGTGACTGGGCTAATCAGGGTAGGTGTGTTGGAGGACAGTGAGATTGGCACAGGATAGAGCAAGGTTTAAGGCTGTAGTACATAGGGTTGCTATGAGTCTCAGGCAACTTGACGGCACATAACAACATACATTGTATGTCTGTGACTTACCGCAAACTTACCAGGAAGATTTTTAGAAACTATGTGAATTCACTACCATGCAATTCATTAATAATGAGGATACACAATATATTCATATAGGCGTGTGTATAATATAGACACATGTTCAATGAAGTAACTTATTCAAAATCACACAGCAAGTGAGTGGCATGGTTTAGATTTAAAACCACAGCTCTTTGGCCTTAAAATCTTAAATAGAAAGAAAGAAACAAACTTTTAATTTAAAAATAATTTCTAACTAACATATAATTTGCAGAATTAGTATGAAGAACTCCCAGGTACTCTTTACCTAGATTCACCAATTTGTAATAATTTTTACATAAGTTAATTCATTAAACCTCTGTGTCCTTCTCTGTAAAATTAAGTTTAATAACACCCACTTTGCAGAACTATCAGTTTTAGAATAAATATTTTCCCGACACATATTAGATGTTTAATAAATGTTACCTATTATTATTATTATTATTGTCATTCCTAATACTGGATGATTTTTATTCAGTGAAAATTCAGGTTAATGCTATATCATGAACATAGGATCAAGAGTTCTAACAACTAAACAATGTAATAACTCTGACTCACACTTCTTGTGTTATTATATAGCACTATAATTGCTTTAGGATCTTAGCCTTGTTTTAAACTAAGTTGATGGACTGAAGGCAAACTGAGGCAAATAGATTTAAGATATGCATCTTGAGTATGTTCCTGGGAATCTCAATTCCACCAGGAAAGATCTCTTCAACAATATAATTCACAGTAAGAAAGCAGGGTATTTTTATGAAAAAAAATTTGCATACCTTAAGATTTAGTGCATTTCTTCCATATATTTGACAATATAGTATGGCGAGATTGGTCATGGCCACTATTGTTTCATATTCTGTGGCCAAAAGAGTACTAAAACCCGTACCATATATACCGTATGAGTCTGAGTCCTTTTTTTTAGTCTTAATGACACCTTAATAATAATAAAAACAAGAATGAAACTTACAAGTGGTACCAGTTAGAGTGAAAGTTAAAAAACATTTGTTGCAGCAGACTCTACTACTGGGCTAGTAGCACTCCACTTGAATACAACAGAATCTACTACTGTACTATTACGACTACACTACTTACGACCACGGAGTCAGAGCCTACTCCTCTCTGACCCTCCAGTGGGAATTCAGAGGCTGTGAAACACAGGGGAGAGATTACTCATTTTTCTCTCTCGGATCAGCTGGTGAATTTAAATGACCGGAAAGACACCAACTTTGAGTTATCAGTGCAACTCCCCACAGACTATGTGCTTCCAGAGCTCCCCTTACAACAGATGAAGTCGTCATAAATAGATTAGCCTGTTACATGCTCTGAAAGGATTCCCCATAAACTGCAACCACTCCATCTCTATTGATTCTTTTTGTCAGCCTGGAATTTTTATATTCAATATCCCAATTGTCTTTCATAAACAAAAGAAAAACACCCAACTCTGCACCCCTTCCCACACTTCACTGATTTCTATGTGAATCCTTTAAAGCCCATCAATCACAATCTTCTTGTAATTCATATTAAATAATTTTTAGGACTGTTACTATGAATGATAATACAAAGCCAATCTCTTAGCTCACAAACACATAAAGGATGCCATAGGAACATAACTCAGACAAAGATCGCTTCACAAGGGGTGGCTTTAGTTTTCCCTCATATCACCAAGATGTATGATTCAAACATTATGGGCAGTTCACTTCTTCCTGGCTGGTAACCCCAACACAGAAGAGGAAAACCAAAAGGGGGAAAAGCAAACAGTTTAGGAATCAGGCAAGAAGAGAAAACCTAAAATTATTTTATCCTTGTGGGCTTGATCATCAATCAAAAATGTCCTTGGTATACCCTTAACTTTTTCAAATTTTATACAATGTATGTATTGCCTACAGAAATGTATTTTGTATTTTTAGTAATACCTTTTTTATTACTTCAGTTAGAGGAAATGATACAGCTTAGAACAAAGAATACATTGTTTTGTTTTTAAGTTCTAGAATAGGCCAAATTTGCCCACTTCAGATCAACATATATGCAAATTAACTATAGGACAGAGATGCATAATCAGGAAAGGATCACGCTGATAAATGATACCTTCTAAAGATTAAGACCCTGTGTGCATAAAATTTTTTTTCCAGTAAGGTGAAAACATACTGACTAGGTAAAAATATTTGGCAATGACATCTCAAACAAGGAAGGGTCTTACAACCAAAGTTTACAGACTACTCCTGGGCCTTCACAAGAAAAAGACTAATAACCCATTTACAAAAATGGGCAAAAGACAGAAAGACTTTTCACAAAGGAAGTTATTTGGATGGCCAACAGACACATGAAGAAAAACTCAAAACTAGTGGCAATCAAAGAAATGCAAATCAAAACTACAATGAGATATCATCTCACCCGAGTAGTAGTTGTTGTTGTTGTTTGGTGCTGTCAAGTCGTACACGACTCATAGCTACCCTATGAACGAACAGCCTGAGCACTGTTCGTACATAGAGTTTCCCGAGGCAAGCCATTTCAGAAGTGGATGCTGCTCCTGCTTCCAGGCTTGATTTAGTCGGGAAGCTCCAGCCAACACTGTCCACCATGGGTACCCATTATCACAATTGGCACATCACTGTGACAGTCTTCAGCATCACAGCAACCATGAGTTACCTCTGTACAGCAACGCACAGACCAGTGCTATACCACCTAGAAGAACGTTTGACAGGAAAACAATTTGAACCTGGCCAAGGGTCGCAGATGAAAATCACCCACCTTCTGCTTGGTAGCATAACTTCCTTTCCACTAGGCTAACTAACGTAGCTCTCTCTTTGTCGTTGTCATTGTTATTGTTGTTTGATGATGTCGAGTCGTAAATGACTCATAGCGACCCTATGAACCAACAGCCTGAGCACTGTTCATACATAGAGTTTCCGGACCGAGTAGTAGTGGCAAAGTTTAACAGTTAGCAACCAAGAAATGTTAGAGAGGATGTGGAGAGATGGGAACTCTCATACACTGTTGGGGGATTGTAAAATGTTTGAATCATACATCAGTTGTGGGTGATTCTTCAAAAAGTTAAACATAGACATCTTCTATAACCCAGCTATTCTACTGCTAGAAAAAATACCTTGAAGAAAATACAACTGAGACAGCAATAGAGATTTGTACACCAATGTTCATAACAGTGTCATTCACAATTGCAAGAACATGGAAACAGTCCAAATGTCTATCAATAAATGAATGGATTGAGTAATTTTGGTACATTTACATAATGGAATACAATACAGCACTACGGAGCAATAATTTTAAAAATTACTATAACATGGGAGAGGCTATAGAGAATTATGCTGATGAACTAACTCAATCTCTTAATCACAAATACTGCATAAGACCATAATTGTAAAAATAAAAGGATAACTAGTAAGATGTGTTTAAATGTTCAAAGAGGAGGGGGAGATGAGTTCGAGGGTAGAGGAATCATGGGGCAGCAGAGTTTGGTGGGTGGAAGGAGAAGGTGAAGGAATTAGGAAAGATCCAGGGAAGATCTGGAAAAACAGGGTAATAGTGGGTAAAGATCAATGGTGATTAATTTTATAAGACACAATCTGTGGGAATGATAATATGAAATGTAATTTGAATGAAGAAACATGTGAAAACACAATATATATGAATGAAACACATGCATAGGAATTTTGTATGCAAACCAATATAAAATTTAAAAACATTTAAAAACAAAACACTATTGGACAAAGACATATGACATGATGTTGTAATTCTTTATTTTGGAAGAATGATTGGAACAAGAAGGAAAATAGAGTAAATTAAAGCATAGGTCTGGCCTGCTCTCTCTCTCTCCATCTACTGTCAGAGTCTAAACCCAAGCAGTAGATTTGAAGGTAGGAATAAGAGATACAGTGAGAAATTCTCCTATAGATTTAAGGGTCTGATAACCCTTAAATTCAACTGACACATTTCAAGGAATAAATCATCACAACAATAAAATGTCAATAAAACAGAAGTGGAAGCATGACTTGTTGAGATTTGCAACATAAAAGAGACCCAGAAGTTAACACTTGTCACAGAGAGGGCTATAGAAACACTGGAAGGAATAGGCAGTTCTACAGTTGGAGTTGAACATGGAATAATCTATTAATTCCATCTACTAAAGTTTAAATTCAGCTATATTACTTTTTAGTTCTAGAATTTCATTTGATCTTTAATTATAAAGACGTAGATATGAGGCCTCTGGTGAAATTCTCCAATATTTTCTTTGGTATGGCAAATCAAACCCATGCTTAGTATTTCTCAAGATGAAAGAATTGAACAACAAATTCAAGCCTCAAGTTGCAACAGTAAAGGATTATAGAAGCGAAATATTGAATTATGCAGGAAATATCAAAAGAAAATTGAAGGAATACACAGCCACTGTACCAAAAGGAATTAATTAACATTGAACCATTTTAGGAAGTAGCATATGATCAAGACCCAATGATGATGAAGGAAGATATTCAAGCTGCGAGGAATGCATTGGCAAAAATAAATAAATAAATATTAAAGCTCTAGAAAATGCTGGAATACTAAATGATACATTTCAACAAGCATATACAGCCCTAGGAATGCCCAAGAATCTATACTAAGAAATCCAGAAGACAGCTACCTGGTCAACTGACTGGAAGAGATCCATATTTGTTCCCTTTCCCAAGAAAGGTGATCAAACATAATGTGGAAATTATTTAACAGTATCAGTAGCATCACATGCAAGTAAAATCTTGCTAAATATTATTTAAATGGCTGGTACAGTACTGACAAGAAACTTCCTTTCTGGAAGGCAATGTGGGTTATTCTTCAAAAAGCTAAACATAGAAATTGCCTATGACCTAGTTATTCCACTGTTAGGAAAAATACCTTGAAGAAAATACAACTGAGACACCAATGAAGATTTGTACATAGAATATCCTTGCTAATGTAAGATGGATCATTTAATATTCTGCCCAAAGCATCCTTGATTACAGCAACTCTAGGTTTGAATCTGTTCTTCAGTTCCTTGAGCTTAAGAAATGCTG